AAAGGAAGGGGCTTAACTGAATCAACCCTGTTTGCAGGAAGGGGTCGGCTTTGCTCCGACATGAGGAGTCGGTGTCCAGGAGGGTGATGTTTGCCCTTGCTGGTAGTGATTCCTTCAAGTCCTGAGCGGTGAACAGTCTAAGCTGAAGCCTGGGGTTTCTCTCTTGCCTTGCCTCTAACCAGATGCATCAAAACCAAAGTCTTTTCCAGTGCTGAAAATAGAGTATCCTGGTAAATGAGAAAAGGGCAGCTCTAGTTGATGTACTTGTGAAAATACCACTGCGAGGGGCTTTTAGGGGTCAGCCTGGGCAGGGGGCACAGGGAGGATGTATTTCCAATTTCCCAATTACACAGCTGTATTTTCTGACCCTCTGGGATGTATTGCAAACAGGCTGCTCCTGTCTCGATGTGGATCCTGCTGGGCATTTTCCCTTAGAGCTGGGGTGTAGGGATGGAGGCTTCTCTAAGCCTAGCTGAGAGTAACTGGAACCTCACCTGGGTGGTGGCTGCTGTATTGGTCTCTTGAAAGATGAAAAGAGGTCTTGAGATGCTGTGATTCTACAAGCCAGTTTTGGGGGAGAAAAGGAGGCAGGTGAGGCACCTGGGGTGCTGGATAGGCTGATTCCTTCCCCAAAACACAGGGACTGCTTTAGTATTATGGAGGAGAGGTTTGGGGTTTTCAGTTTTGTGTGGTTTTGTTTTTTTTTTTTTGTTTTTTTTTTTTTTTTGTGGCTAAGCCTTGCTTCAGACCCATGTGATGGAGCTGAATGAGCCCTCTGACAGCACTCTCAGGTGTTCCCTTGGTCTTGCACAGCTGTGGTTGTAGAGGAGTTTTCTAATTAGTTTAAAAATCAATACTAACTAAAGGTGATTCCTTATCAGCTCTGACATGCAAATACATTTCCACGGGTTTCCAGCTCCGAAGCAGCCAGCCAGCCTGTTTGAGGCTGTTAGTCCCTGGTTTGCCCCACAAGTTGCTGCGAATGACTTAACCCACAGTCCTGTCCATGCAAGGCTCCCAGCAAGGTAACTTCAATTAATACCAATTAGCCTATTGCCCAAACACTTGGTCCGCCACAGGCGCACAGCTGGGTGGGCACCACAGGTGAATCCATAGGTGAGAAGTCTGGGATGTCTTTAAACCCATCATAGCCACCTCTGCACCCATTAAAGTCTTCTTCCAGGCTGTGCTTTCCCTGTTTCCAAGCCTTATCTGTCCTCCACTTACCTTATTATCTCCAGGCTGTCTGATGGGAGTGATATGCGTGAGCTAATGAGTTGACCCAGCAAGCTCAGCCGATTGCTTTCTGCAGCACAAAAAGCAATGTTTGCCCGTCCGGGTAGTTGTGCTGGGTTTGTAGGGTTAACCTGCGAAACACGATGGGAGTTCACTGCCCTTGAGGATCCCAGGTATCGGACTTTTGCTGATCCAGCTGTGAAGGAGATATCCCTCTGTGTCAAAGCTGGGAGCAAGCCTTTGCCTCTATTCCTGCAGTCCAAGGACTGATGCCTTATCTGCTGGTGGGGAGCTTCCCTCTGCTCTTGCTGGAGGCAGTGCACCTTTGACCTCAAGGTGTTTATAAGGCAGTAGTTATTCCCAGTTACTATTTAACAGCTGGGCACTCAATCACATTTATTTTATTTAATCCCGCCTTCTGTTTATTTTTCCTTTAACTAGCATTTACAGTGATTCCCATGATGACTGAGATCCTGCTGTGGTTTCCCTCCTATTAACCTTTGGAATGGGCCCATTTCTTTCCTGGTGTTTCTTCTTCTCTACCGAGCTTCAGGATTCTTGTGAAAGTCCTTAATTTTCCTCTTATACTTATGGAAACTTTTTTTTTCCTCCCCAGTGCATTACCCAACCAGCCCTTCTCTGCCAGTGAGGGATGGAGGCTGATACCAGGGCTTGGCCGGTTTACTTTGCCAGGACCTCAAGTGCCCTTTATTTCCTTGTCGGGAGCGGTGTAAAGGTTTCCAGGCAGAGATCTGGCTGCAGATCCTGCTCAGGGAGTTGGTGGGGAGAGTGCCAGGCAGGTCTCTGCCTCTCTGGGGAGAAAAACCTGCCCTGTGAACCCTCTGGGAGCTGGAGGTGCAGATCCAAGCAGCACTGAATTCAGCACTGATTGTGCTTTGATCCACAAAGCAGAGCAGCACCCTCAGACAGCCCTTCCTAGCTGTGTTGTCTGAATGAAGCACTTTGAGGTTTCTTCTAAAGATTTGGGTTGGGGGAACTATCAGGAGAAAGTCCTAAGTGGCCTTTCCAAGGGGAGAGCAGAAGCAGGTCCTGTTCTTCCATATAACTTCTCTAGCTGAGGCTGTGCCACTTCCAGCTCTCCCCAGGGCCCTGGGTGCTCTGCCAGGGGGTGTGAAGGATCAGAAGATATCTGCTGAGCTCCCGGCTGCCGACCTGCTCCTGCAGCATCCCTGCAGCACGGTGGGGCTGAAGCCATGGGCACTGCTAATGCACCCCCCCACGCCCAGCCTTGTGCTCTGTCTGGGGTATCTTTTGCTGCTGAGCTGATTTGAATTGGAAATCTGGCTGTCCTCTGAGCTTGGCCACAGCCTCGTGTGAATTCATGCAGACACTTGTCATCTAGGTGTGCGCTGGCTCGCTTGGCTAGAGCTTGGTGTGGTAAAATAGGGTGGTTTATGAATCACACAGCCAGATTCACCTCAGAAATCTGCCCTGGCTAGTGGTTTGGGGGTGGGGATGGTGAATGATCAAAGTGGGAGCCTTACTGACCCCCATGCCCTCATCCCTCTGCTTTGAGTACCCAAGATTTCCTTTCCTTCAATCCTTATGGGATGCTGTGGTCTAGAAACACCTCTCCAGGGCTGTGTAACCTCGCAGAAGAGGAACATTAAAAACATCCGTGTCTGCTCTGCTGATTTCCCCAAAATACACGCGTCCTGGCGGGTTGTGGAGCAGGAGCTGTGTCCCTCTGTCTGCCAGAGGGCTGGGGACTGCAGTGGGTTCCCTGCCCCATGTCTAGACACTGTCCTGTGGGAACGGGGGCTTGGCTCTCCCGGCCTGGAAGCAGGGCAGAGGGGGTCTGAGGACAGCGGCAGCCAAGCCCTCTGAACAAACCAAGCGCCCTGGCACGGCCGCGCTCGCCCGTTTGCCGCGGCGGGACTGCTGCCAGCCCCGGGGCCAGCGCAGGGGGGAGACCCTGGGAACCAACCTGCAGCGAGCGGGCTTGAGGCGGCTTCAGCCCCTCGTCCCAGGGTGTAAAATGTGGCAGGAGGCTCTGGGGTGGCTTTGGGAAGGGCTCTTTTCTCCTGGTCAGGAAGCGTGGGGTCCCCTCCGGGACCTGGGTGGTTGTAGGAGCAGAGCCTGGAAGAGTGCTGTCCCCTCTCTGAGGAAGTGTCACAAGCAGACTTGCTGCTTGTCTCTTTCTGACCTAGAATAGAAGAAAAACCTCACGCTGGTTATTTTATTTTATTTTTTTCCTACGCTGATGTGTGGCTGATGAGGCCTCAGCCCCTGGGTGCCTCTTCCCTCCCTTGCTGCTGCGTTGACTGAACGTGACGACTCGCTTCTGCAAATACACAGATTAAAACAACTTGTCCTTTAGAAATGCTTGAACTCAGCAGTGTGGCAGGACCCAGCTCCTCGTGAGAAACCTGTTGCAGCTACCCGGGATGAAAGGGTCCTCCTGCAGATAACGAACCCTCAGTGTTTGAAGCCTCTGTGTGTGTGTGAAGGTGCTCATCTCCAGGTCTGTAAAACTCAGCCCTGGTACAAGCTGCCCATCACGTCTCACATGCAAGTGGGGCTGGTGAGGAGGATGAGTGCTGATTTGAGCTGTAAAGCATTTCTAGTCTGGCTGATTTTCCAGGAATGACAAAGAAATGATGATCTTAAAAGACAGGGCACATCAGGGCTGCCTTAGCAGCACGGGCAACCGGCAGTGCCCTCCTAGCTTCTGCCAGAGAGTTTCTGTTTGGGAGAGGAGATTAAATAAGTGGAACTGGCTATCCTGAATAATCTTGATCTCTGCTGTTGGCTTTCTGCAGTTAAAGGAGAGGTCCCAGGATCCTGAATCCTTCCAGGCTTTCTCCTGGGAGGGCAGAAGTGCATTATGGAGACTTTCTTGCTTTCCAGGCGGTTGTGTTGCTGTGAGTATGTGCTCTGTTCTGATTTTGCTGTTTCTCCCTGGGCAACTGTGTTGTGTCATCGTGTCCATGGATGTGGTGGTGGGAAATTCAGGAGGCTGAAAGGTTTTAGGTGATTCCTTATCCTGGGTGATGTGCAGAGCTTGTTTTTGTTATACACCCCACCCCAGTTACTCCAGGACAGAAGTGGCTGTAAGGGCACTTTTTTTCCACCACTGTAAATGTGCAATGACTCATGTCCCTAATGAAAAATAATAACAATAAAAAAAAAAAAGTGGGTTGCTAAGGCGAACCTGGTGGTAGCAGGATGGGAGCCTGGAGCTGCTCCCTGGCATGTGTCCTTTCCCCCTTGGAGCCTGTTCCCCGGGTGAACCAGGTCAGCGTGTGGCCCCGGCGATGGCTGTGAATTGGTGGATGCTTTCCAAAACCACCCCCTCCTTCCGCAACCTGCTCCGCCGCTGTCCCCTGAGGCTGCACAGGATCCAATCGGGGATGCGTGGCATGGTGAAGGAGCTCGAGTATCCTCTCTGGAGCCATTCTGGGTATGGAAAGGGTTTTAAAATTAAAAGAGGGGTTGTCTGGTGTGAGAGAGACATGCCTGGCTCATCTGTGCCCAAGGTAAATCCAGCTGGATTTATAAAGTCCTCTGCCGCTCAGAGGCAGGGGGGGAACTTCTCGGTAAGCTCAGAAAACTGCTCTCTAGCCAGACTGCTGGGGAAAAACGCAGGAGAAACGGTTGAGGATGGCACACCCAGCAGTCACGAGCTGCTTGTTCGTTTAGCAGTCCAGATCTGGAATCTGTTTGGCCTTCATATGTTGTAATAATTAAACAAATGAGGCTGTATGTGCTGGGGGCACATGTGCTGCTGGGTCCGGCACTGCCTGGCCAGCGTGCCCACGTATGGGCAGGTACCTTACAGTGTAGGGAGGGGCTCGTTGTGGCTGATCGTTCAGCTTCGCGGTGGTTTTGGGAAGCACCAGCCAGTGCAGCCAAACAAGGTGGTTGGTGTTTGCCTTGGGAGGGCGCCAGCGGGTCCCTGACACCTCATTTAATCCTTTTTGGGGTGCTGTATCAGCAAGGACGATGTTCCCACACCTCCTGCTGGGCCAGACCCAGCGCCTGGAGGGGTGGTTTGAGCTGAAAACGAGTGGCCGTTGTCGGGAAGAGTCGGGTCTGCGTGGGAATGGGCACGGTTGCGCCAGGTTTCGCCAGGGGAGAAAATGTACTTCTGGCTTGGCAGGTGTGACTGGGAGCAGGCAGCGTTCAGCGTCGCTTTGCGAAATCTTGGCAGATGTCGGATCCTGGTGTTTTCCGTCAGGACGTCTCCCAAAAAGCCCCTGCTGCTTATTTGGCACAGGGCTCCCTCAGGACCCCAGCCCCATCTCCTCCTGTAAGGGGGTAGTGACACTAGAAAACATCCCCGCTCTGTTTCTGTGCAGAGAAGTCAGTGCTGTGTTGTTTTGCCTCCTTGGTCATGAATTGCTGGGACGAAAAAATATTTTCCTTGCTCTTAAACCCTTGTGCTCCACCCGGTTGGAAAAGCTGCTTCCAGCAGGATGAAGTTTGGGATGTGATTCGCCACCGTGCTCTCTGCAGTCAGACGGTCCCGATCCCGCAGCCCGCCCGGTGTCGGTCAGCCGCAGCCGACTGGTCCGCAGCCCCCCGGCCGGGGACACCGTTCGTTCAAATTCCCATGACAAGCCAAGGGATTATGAGATTTTCTCCGTCGCCTTAATGCGGCTAGAGAGCCCGGCACGTGGAAGGTAACGCGGCCGACGGTCACACACGTCGCCAGTCGGCTCGGTCACTTTGCCTGACCGCAGCACCCGCTGTCGGCCCTCGTCTTCCTCTCGGCTGGTTGCCGGATGCTCTGTTAATTTGCTGGGCTTGGAGGGGGTTTGATGTGCGAACGGCTCATTCGATTCGGAAGCTGCTTGCAATGTTTGATAATTTTAGACAGGGCAGATTTTGCTAAGCTGTCGAGTTCAGATGAGCTCTGGTAAAGCCACAGTGGGGATTACTGTGGTTAATTCAGCACTTGGTTTCTTTAGCGGTGATATTTTTTTTTTTTTTTTTTTTTCCCTTGTATTCAAACCCTGCATTTCTAGAACTGCTGTTTCTCCTAAAAAGCGGGACCTTGCCTTGGAGCTGGCTCAACACCTGGGGCCAGTCCGCTGAAGGAGATGACTGTGTCTGGTAGATCTTTTTTGTCTTGGAGGTGTGGGGATGGTGTGGAGCTGGGGAGTGCAGCAGCCCTCCATCCCCACCCTCTCCTTCCCGTCACATCCCAAATGAGCTTCACTGCATGGGATCAGCCAGGCAGCACGTTCCACTGCAGGGAGGAGCCCTGTCCCGGAGCTCCCATGTTCTGGATGCTGTAAGCAAGGACAGACACCCACCTGCATCCTGGCCCAGAGCAGCAAAGTCTGGGTTGTCTGTTTTTTTTCCCTCCGGGGTTCACCTCTTCCCTGGAAACCTTTCCCTGAGATGGAGAAAATTCCTCAGCTAACACTTTAAGCTATTTTAATTCCAGCAGCTGTTTTATGGGGCATGCTTACACCCTCTGGTTTGATGAGTTGCCAGAGGAAGAGGTGGGCGCGAAGGGGTGGAAATCTTGCTGTTCTGAAATTGCTGATTTTTTGTTTCCCCCCCCCCGGAAATGCCCATGAGCAATATGCCAGCACAGAGGTGGCACAAGCTTTTCTTAGGCTGTCTGGGGAAGATCGATCCAAGCAACAGACCTTGAACAAATTCCAGCAATATCATTCCTTGGTTGGGAAACCGCTGTGCCTGCCAGCTCCAGCCCTGCGCCCTGAGGACACTGCTGCTACCTGCCTGGTGTTGCTTGCTAGGAGTGCTTCTGCAACTCTTATCTCGGAACCAGCTCTCCCAGCAGTGCTCTAGGGTTTGATGTCCTCCAGTTCCTCCCTGTGCACCAAAGGACCTAAACCAGTTGCAAAAGGAAACCTGCAAACTTGTATTTAGCATTCCCATTCTTTCCACTAATGCAAATTTGTGCAGATTGCGTCAGGATCGCACAGGCGGCTGCTGGGAAGTCTGGTCTGGGAAGCAGATACCAGGCTGTAACCCATCCAGTATGGAGGAGCTGGCTAAAAACCTTTTAGCCGCAGCACCCACAAAAATGCCTGGGATGCCTGCCTGCCTGTGATGGTGGACTTGATCTGGTGCCGGTCTGTTCCCAGAAGGGATGTTGGAGTCACCTCCATCGCCCCACATCACCCCACGTGTCCTCCCTTGGACTGAGCAGTGGCTTTCGTGTTCCTGTTTCCCTTCCTGAGCAGAATGCCAACGCTGCTTCTGGCCCATCAGCTGGGTTTCTCCAGGAATCGTGGCTCCATTTTACAGCCCAAATAGCCATACTTGTGCTGCAGACACCCCAAACTATGCAGATTCCTCCTCTCTGGGATGGATCATCTCAACTAAATAGTTTCATTCTTCTACCCTTGAAGGCTGTTTCCCACATCAAAGCTTTCGGGGAGCTTTTAGGGTGGCTGTGGCATGGAAAACCCCTCCTTGAGGCCACTTTAGCCTGTCTCTTTCCATCATCTTGATTTTTTCAGGACTCTTCTTGAGGTCTCCTGGGTCTGTGGGGATGCTTTGTTAATCCCACTCCCTGCGATGACGTTTTATCCCTGTTAAGTGGCAAAATTAAATCCTGCAGCGACTCAATCAGAGGGAAGAGGCTGCGCTGGGACTCTTTGTTAGGGTCTCCTGTGTGGCAGCATGCCGAGCAGGGGGGCATCAGGCTGGATTTGCTGATGCTTTCCCTAATTCCCTTTCATCTCTGTCGTCTTTCTCTTGCAGAAGCAGCGATAGGGCTTTTTGCTGGCTGGTCACATGGGATGAGTGCAGCAACTGAGCAGTTTGGGGCTATTTTTCCCCTCCTTTCAGCCCAACGCACTTTAATTTGATGTGCTTGGTAGTAGGTGCTGGAGCCTTGAGTTGCCTCTGGCTGAGAGAGGAAGGAGGGGTGGCTGTTTTAGGGCTTCTCTTACAATGGAAACATCTGTAATACCGAGGAGACTGAAAGCCAATGCAATGTCAACTACTTTTTGTTGAAATGTTCTCTCTTGCTGCTTTTTTTTTCCCCCCTGCTTTTAGTGTCGATTTTGGAAGGATGTGCCGTGTTTTTAACCTGCGGGATGTTCTGGAAGCACCAGGGATCTGAGTTTCTGCTGGGACCACCCCAGCTTTCTTGCTGCTGCACTTTTGGGCAGAAATCCACTGGGACCAGTCGTGGTAGGCTCTGTCAGAGCAGGGTCTCTGCCTGTGCAGGGCTGCATGATATTTGGATTATACAAGCAGTCTGACTTTCTTGGAGGAACCTCAGAGAGCCAGAGATGGGTCAGAGGAGGTGTTTCAAGCCTCGCTGGGTGCTCTTTTTATCTTCAGGTGTTAAGCATCAAATCTTTAACCTACTGGTGATGGAGATGATCAGGTGGAGGGGGTTTAATTTTTGGCATCTGTAGCCACAGGTCGGTTCCTTGGTGCATTTGGTGATGCTCATTTCTGCGACTACAGCAGTTAAGGTGGACTGAAGGGAACCACGGGCCCATATAGCCTGGACAGATGACACACTGTAAGGATCACCTGCTGATTTAACACATCTCTTCCTTTGCACTTCTCAGCAAATCCAGTTTGCAGATGACATGCAGGAGTTCACCAAGTTCCCAACCAAGACGGGCCGTCGGTCCCTGTCCCGCTCCATCTCGCAGTCTTCCACCGACAGCTACAGCTCAGGTAGGTGCCAGGCTCCTTGTCCGTGCTTGGTCCACTCCCAAATCCGGCGTTGGTGCTGCTGTGAACACGCTGCTCACACCACATGTTGGGATGCTCCGTGCTGCTGTGTTGTACTCGTGTGTGGAGGGGATAATTCTGGGGGTTCCTGAAGCTCAGGCATTGATAACCAGTCGATAACCCAGTTACCTCTGGGTTGTTTTAGAGAACAAGAGTGCAAAATTCCTTCTGGGCTTCCCTTAGGAGATTTTTAGTTTGAGCCATGAGTGTCTGTGCGTGAAAGCTGGGAAGCGAAATGAAACTGAAACCTGCCCAAAGGGTAGGAGGTCCCCAGACTCCTGAGGCCTGGGGTAACACGCATTCCTCTCCTGGCTTTAGCTGCCTCCTACACAGACAGCTCTGATGACGAGGTGTCCCCCCGAGAGAAACAACAAACCAACTCCAAAGGCAGCAGCAATTTCTGCGTGAAGAACATCAAGCAGGCAGAGTTTGGGCGCAGGGAGATCGAGATTGCTGAACAAGGTAAAAGTGGAGTGCGGGGTTCGTGGGGCTTGTGGCCAGGCGTTGTGCTCTCTGGAGACCAGGAGCCGAGCCACGGCAATTCCCACAACTCTTGTTACAGCCTTGAATAACCCATTTTATCCCCCCAAATGAGCTGAGTATGTGGGGAAGAGCGAGACATGACAGCAAACGTTAACGATGTGTGGCATCCATTTTCTAACAGCAGCAGAGCTCTTGCAGGGTCCAATGCTCTGGTGGCTTTGGATGAGAAACCTCAATGGGCAAAGATCTTGCAACACCTCCAGAGACATGAAAACTGACAGTCCCAGCCCCTTCCCCTGGGGTTTGTGGGAAGCTGAGTTACCATTGCTAGTGGGGTGATTGGGTAACTTTGCTTTCGGGCTCCTTTTAGACACACGCTACCAGAGCTGTAGAAGGGGAAGATAATCCAGGCACATTTAGACCAGCTCTTCTGAGATATGGCAGCACTGCTTTCATCATCTTTAGGTGCTTCTCCTTGATGCTGTTCTGCCACAGGGCTGATGACTGTCCTTAGTTGCCTTCCGTGGGCAGTACCTGTCCCTGACCTCTCTTGTTATGTTGTCAAGTGACAAATGACATTGGCATTTTGGTCCCATTTTGGACAGACCTGCCAGGCCAGGGATGTAGAGTTTTTTCCCCAGCTGTGTCACAATGGTAACAAAAACTAGGGCTGAATATAGCCTGTGAGACCCCAGGAAGGAGAGCAGGTCTGACAGAGAGGAGCCTCTCTGGACTAAGCCATCATTAAAACCCCTCTCTTCCGTTTGCAGACATGTCTGCTCTGATTTCACTCAGGAAACGAGCTCAAGGGGAGAAGCCTTTGGCTGGAGCTAAAATCGTGGGCTGTACCCACATTACAGCACAGACTGCGGTGAGTGGCTGCTTATTTGGGGTGTCTGGGGTGGGAGAGACCAGCTTTTCCCTGGGGAAGAAAGTCCCTTAAGCTTCCTTGGCTTGCGGAATCGGAGGAGGCACCTTCACTTTCTTGGAAACACTTTGGAAAGGTTCTGCTGCCTGCGTTTCCTCAGGGCAATGTTTGTTGGAGCCAATCTCTGTCCAGCTCCCCACTGCCCGTGGCACAGGGCTGTGCTGGGGGGCCCTGTGCCGCTCTGGTGTGTTTGTGCCCATCACCGCTGCCCCGGGCCTGCTGCTCACCCCTCTGTCTCGCAGGTGCTGATTGAGACGCTGTGCGCGCTGGGAGCGCAGTGCCGCTGGTCTGCCTGTAACATCTATTCCACCCAGAATGAAGTGGCAGCTGCCTTAGCAGAAGCTGGTGAGTACGGCTGAGCCTAGAGACGCGGAGCCCTTCCAGCCCCTCCTGGCTCTGCAGCTTTGTCTCACACAGCTGGTTTGTGGGGTGGTTTGGACCAAATGTCTTTTAGGGAGGAATAAACAGGTCTGATCCTGTTGTGGGCTGTGGTTTGATCTCTGCGTGGCCCCTTGGCCCTCCTGTCTGTGGCTTTCCTGAGCTGGCCAAGCAGGAGAGAGCTCTGCCAAACTCAGCAGATGCCAAGGATGCTGCTCTTCTTCTAGGTGTTGCCGTGTTTGCCTGGAAGGGGGAGTCGGAGGATGACTTCTGGTGGTGCATTGACCGCTGTGTTAACATAGATGGCTGGCAGGCCAACATGGTAATGAGCCTTTTTCCAGCCCTTCCTCTTCCTCTGTGGAGTAGTCACTGGGTGCTCCTCACCCTTCTCTCCCTGGGGCTGTTCCTGGGCACCTGCTGGCTTTGCAAAGGCCTCTGAGCCCCCGTTAAAGTTGGGGTCCTGGAGAATGGCAGCCAGGGGTGGGTTGGGGCCAGCAGTGGGGGTTGCAGGAGCTGCAGGGACGATGTCCTGAGTTGGCACAGCTCAGTGGCGTGGGAGCTGCCAGCGAGCCGAGAAACCACGGGACCTCTTTGCCCCCAGGGTCAGCCCTGTGGAAGCCGCCCCAGCCGCTTGCCTCTCGACACAGATCCTGTCCACCCTCTCCCAAAGCGAGAGGAGTCTCTGCAGGGGACCTTTTCCTTGCTGAAAACAGATGATGCCTCTCACCTGATGCATGGCCCGTGATCACTAATGATGCAATAGCATGTGTCAGTGGGCTGTGACAGCTCCCGCAGCCTTTCCTCTCCACTGTTTGCTTTCAGGGCATGAATGTTGTGGCGTCCTTCTGATCTCAGCCTGTTTAGTTAGTGCTGCCTGCGGTCACGTTTCCAGGCTGCAGAGCAATAGCAGGGGCAGAAAAGCCTGTTAGGATCCATCAGCTCCACGCAGGGGGTAAGAAATCCTCTGTGTTTTGGAGGAGACCCCAAGTTGCTGGCAACTAGGGGAACCCAGGAGTCCTGGCCACCAGGCCTCTGCCCAAACAGCCCTCCATCAGTGCCTGAAGATGCTCTTCATCTCTTTTTTCCCCATCCTGTCCCCAGCGACTGCTTTTCCCAGTGGAAGGCCTGACTGCTCCTTGCTCTTTCCTTGCCTGTTCTATAGATCCTGGACGATGGTGGGGACCTGACCCATTGGGTTTATAAGAAATACCCCAATGTATTCAAGAAGATTCGAGGGATTGTGGAGGAGAGCGTAACCGGCGTGCACCGGTAGGAGGTTTGGGAAAGCTGATGGGGGGATCTCTTACTGGGTTGCTGCTCTTTGCTCTGACCTGGGTCTGTCCTCTTCCAGGCTGTACCAGCTCTCCAAGGCTGGGAAGCTGTGCGTCCCAGCCATGAACGTGAACGACTCTGTCACCAAACAGAAATTTGACAACCTATATTGCTGCCGGGAATCCATCCTGGACGGGTGAGTCCAACCCTTCTCCTTGTCCGCACTGTCACTCACACTGGTGGATTTGGCTCCGGCTCCTCTTGAGCAGAGATTGGGCTCTTTGCTGCTTTGCCCTTGCTGTGTGCTTGCAGGACCTGGTTTTGGGGGCTCTTGCAGCGAAGTGCTGCCCTGTGCCATCAGCGGTGCGCGCTTGACTAATCCCAACACAGGTCTCTCTCTGTCCCCCAGCCTGAAGAGGACCACGGATGTGATGTTTGGAGGGAAGCAAGTGGTGGTTTGTGGTTATGGGGAGGTGAGTTTCGTAAGCGGCAGTCGGTGGAGCTGTGAGTCAGCCTCCCCCCGAGCCATCCTTCCCCTGAGCTCAGTATCCTGCTTCTTCCCCATGCAAAGACCACTTGCCCTTGATATAGGAGTAGATCAAACCTGGTGAGCGATTACCAGGGAAATCTTGCTAGAACCTGTTGGGAGGCTGGAGAACAAGCATCAGATTCCCCAGTTTGCCTGCAGATTAGCTGGGCTGCAAATATGACAGTTGCTGGGAATGCTGGCCTGAATTATAACTACCCATGGGTGCTCCCATCTGCTGTCCCTGGACTGAGTTCAGCATCCAGCTCGGCTGTCACCGAGCCTGTGACAGAGGAGACAGAGGGGCAGGGCGCATCTTGCTGGTGGATAATGTTCTGGCAGAGGGGACTTGTATCACGAACCTGTAAATGATTCTGCCCTGGAAGAGCACAGAGCTGGAAGCTGACACCTTCCCTCCATCTGTGCGCTGTCTGCGTGGGTGTTTATCTTCCCGCGCTGCGAAGGGCCTGGCAGTAGCTGCAGATGCTCTTCCCAGCAGGAACACGCTTACTAATTTATTTAGACACCAGTGGAGCCCAGCTCTGCTTGACCAAGAGGCTGTGCTGGCTCTCACCCAGGCACTCCGGGGTGGCGTCTGATTGTCCAGCCATGAGTTGTGCTGGGAGATGTAGTCTCCAGGGCCCCTCTTGTCTTTGACTGGACTTCTTCAAAACAAGGGAGTCCTTCCACCCTCCCTGGTTTCCCTGGTTGGAGCCCCAGTTTACCTTGCCTGGCTGTTGTAAGTAGACCTGTGGTTGGAGCTGGGTGATAAGCGAGGATGTCTCTAGTGATGTTTCTTGCCCACCAGCATCTTGCTGGTCAGAAAACAGGGCTGAGCATGGGTACATGCAGATCAGCCAGGTGTTAGTGTGGGTGAGTGGCGTGGAGAGCCAGACTTCAGTTTAATTTTGTAGTGAGGAGAGGGATAGAGTCAGAGATGCTGTAACAGGAGCTCTGTTCTCCCCTGTGCTGATGTGGGGCATGTGGGATGGAGGATCTGTCCCCTGGTCAGCGCAGGACAACTCTGAATGCCAAAAGAAAGCCTTTGGCTTAAAGGCAACTGGGGGAAGTGCATGCTTGTCCAAGCTGGCTCTAATCTCTTGGAGGAGAGCTTAGAAGGGCTCCTGCGATGCTGGGGGCTGCGCAGGCTGCAAGTGTGTTGGTTTTGGAAAGCTCCTGACAGCTGGTGGCTGATGGCCTTGGAGGGGGAGCTGGGCTTGCGGCAGGAGTGCCACTTGCCAGGTACATCGCTGAGCTGCTCCTGGCGTCGGGCAGATGGCCGGGACGAGCATCTCCCAGCCTGGGACGCGCTCGGGCTGTTTCAGGGAAGGGATTGTAGCACTCGGTGTGTCCTGTGTTCAGCTTCATGCTGATGCTTTGTCTTGGCAGGTTGGCAAGGGATGCTGCGCCGCTCTGAAAGCCCTGGGAGCGATCGTCTACGTCACGGAGATCGATCCCATCTGCGCGCTGCAAGCTTGGTAAGATGGTACATGCTCCTTCATCTGCTCTCTGGCTTCTTTTAAACCCTGACAGAGGCTGGAGCAGAGCCTGGAGGATCTGTGGCTTGTCTTGAGGGAATATACGTCTCGTTGGGCTGTGATGGGGAAGGGCTGGGGCAGCTTTCAGGGCTGGTGCAGTGGTGGGGTACCAGGCAGGAGGCACCTGCCCTGGCTGGCTTGGGAAGGCTGCTCGAGGGTTCATGCGAGGCTGAATGAATGTTCCACATGGCCCCTGGCTCCTCCAGCATTTGTGAGAGCAGGTGTGATGCTGCATCCTCTGCACAGCCCTTCCTCATGCATCTGGCATCCCTAGGGGTGTGGAAGGATAGCCTGACTGCTGTGTGAGCAGTTCGCAGCTGCCGCAGCAATACAGCACTGAGATCCTTCCTGGCCTGGGGCAGAGAGGGAGCAGGCTTCTCCTCCTCATCGTGGTCCCTCTCCCCCTTTTTTGCCAGCATGGACGGATTTCGGGTGGTGAAGCTGAGCGAAGTAATCCGTCAGGTGGATGTCGTCATCACCTGCACAGGTAGGGATGGAGAAGGTTGTGGGTGAGCCTTGGAGCAGGCTGAGAAGGAGCAGTCGTTCCCAAGCGGATGTCTCGAGGGCTCTGGGGGAGCTGGGGCTGGAGCCATATGCTGCTAATTTTACAAGAGCAATAGCTCCTACCACTCCCCAGTCTGCTATTTGGCCACAGTCCTCCTCAGCCCCTGGGAGGAGGGACATCACAGCTGTGTGTCCCGAGGGTATTTGAGGGTCTCCTAGAGCCTGGTTAATTGATGGGACCAAAGATCAGCACTCATCCCATGTGTTTCTCTGTTACCACAGCCAGGAGGGCTCTCATCCTGATGGAAGTTCATCTGACATTGCCCCAAGCTGTGCTTCTCTCACTCAATTGCAGGGAAGGAGAAATCGGAGGGTTTATATTTCCACTGCCTTGGGTTCATCTGTGCCTTCTCTGCCCGCAGGAAACAAGAACGTTGTGACCAGAGAACACCTGGATCGGATGAAGAACAGCTGCATCGTGTGCAACATGGGCCACTCCAACACCGAGATCGATGTGGTGAGTCTGCCTGCGGCCTCGACAGCCGTGTCCACCCTACTGCCCTCCCGCCACGACTCCAGCCTTTTTCTTCCTCCTGCTCTTGCAGACCAGCCTCCGGACCCCGGAGCTGACCTGGGAGCGGGTCCGCTCCCAAGTGGACCACGTCATCTGGCCGGATGGGAAGCGGGTGGTGCTGCTGGCCGAGGTGTGCTGAAAGCTGTGCCACGACGTTGCTTTGAACCAGGAAATCACTGCGTGTCAGAGTTTGTAACAGAGATTTAACCAGGTGGAAAGGTGCTAGGAGGAGGTTCAGAGCTCAAGAAAGGGCTTCTTGATTTATTTTTTTTTTTTCCTTTTGTTGAGGCAGGGGAGGTATCATATCATGTGCAGCCACAGAGGTGCCATCTGGCTCTGTTCTTTCGAGCTGGGAGCCATCCCCATCAGCCAAACGCCGTCTGCTTCTTGCTTTGGCAGGGTTTCCCACGCAGCAAACCACTTGGGTGTCTCCTCTTCCCACTTGAGCTCTCTAGGCAGTAGGAGGGACTGGCTTTTTCTAGGGACCACGAAGTTTTCCTGCCTCAAAGCTACGGGTTAGGGTGGAAACTGAGGCAGAGTTTGAATGTTCTGGTCATGCAGGTGGCCCTTGAATCACTGGGCTGTGGTTGCCCGCTGCCCCAGGGAGAGGGTAGAGGTGAATCCTCTTGAGACTCGATTCAGTTTGGCTTTTGGGGGCAAGTTCAGCTCTCTGCAAACTCTCCTGCTGTCTCCTAGGGCCGTCTTCTCAACCTGAGCTGCTCCACGGTTCCCACCTTTGTTCTCTCCATCACAGCCACCACTCAGGTCCGTACGCTGCAGGGCTGGGGCACAAGGGGTGGAGGATGCTCTGGGGCCTCACACAAACCTCGGGGTGGGGATGGTTTGAAAGAAGCTGGGAACACACCCACGGATGGGTCCTTGGGATGGCACTGGTGCCAGAGATACCGTAGCCACCACCTCTTGACTGGGTTGCAGTTAACGGTGTGAACTTACTGCTTTGGTTACAGCTGGGAGAGAGCTTTTAAATGAGCCAGGCTTCATGGCAGAGCTCCTGCTGTATTGTAAGCTACTGGAGAGCTCCCCCAGCACAGGTTTAAGCTTACCTCAAAGCAAGGCTTTGTTTTGTCTTTGGACTTTGATTTCTACAGCACAAATCTCCCCTGCAGTGAGTTTTGGGGATCTGGAGTTCAGTGGTTAAAATGCTCCCCAGCATCAGTGCCAGCTCAGCTGGGGCAGACACGACTTGTCCCTTGCACTGTTTGTCGTGACTCTGCCTTTCCAAAGAGAACGATGGTTAAATTTGGCTTCACTCTGAGATCTGCAGTTGGTGCTGGTTGTGTGAGCAGCGATGGAAGAAACCCGGTGGGCTGGAAACACGGAGGGGACTGATGGCTGGGGGAGGACAGCCACACTGACGGTGGGGAATTTCCTTATCCTCACACTTGTTGGTCCAAACTGATGGGGACCGGGGTCGTGCTTTGGACCTGGCTCTCAGCTGTATGAACCAGCACTCAAGGCAGATGCAGTTTTATTTCTACTGAGGGAGTGGCCATTGTTTTTGGAGAGATGCCACCAGCTTAAAATGAGCAATCCTTTCATTTCTGCATGATGTGGCAGCCGTATGGTTTAAGAGAATTAGAGCTGCTCCCCCTCTCTTCCACCTTCATGTTCTGGTTTTCCCCAGGGCATTAAGCCCAGATACTGCAAACAAGTTGTGTGGCATCTCATCTCCAGTGTTTCTAGTCTTCCCCCCTTGGTGGTGGGATTATGGAGACCCAGAGAGGGATGTACCCTTAAGTGGAAGCCTTTCCTTCAAGGCATTTTGGAAATGGTTGCCCCCTCCCTCAGCCTCCCAAACTCTTATCTCTGCTGCTGAGAGCTTTGTGCCATTGTGAGTGTTGAGTGGTGGCCATCCCTGACTGTCCCCGGGCTGTCCCCTGTGATTTCTGCAGGCTCTGGCTCTGATTGAGCTTTACAATGCTCCTGAGGGTCGTTACAAACAGGACGTGTACCTGCTGCCGAAGAAGATGGGTGAGTGAAGGGAACACAGACTGACTTATCCCCGCAGGCTGCTGTGGGCCAGCAGATTTAGATGCAAGGAGAAATTCAAACCTAGGCTGGAAAAACCTTCCAGAGAGAGAATGAGTTCAGGGAAGCCATCAGAGGCAGCAACCTTAAAATACATGCAGGTTGCTTGATTTATTTTCCTTAATGTCCTGCAGTGTGGCAGGCATCCCTTATCTTGCAGCCTTCCTGCTCCGAGGTTTTTCATGCAACCCTTGTGCCTTTTGGTGCACATCCAGCCTTGCTCAGCACCGGGGCTTGGGTTCAGCTCTGCTGTAGGCTTACGTGATGGTGGATCCCTGGTGCTAGATGGCACAGACTGCCTAGCCATACCCAGCGGGGTGCCCCGGCCCTTTCTGTGCCATATGATGCGTTCATACAGCATCTCCCTGGCAGTGTAGTGGGGGACGTGCACCCCCTGATCCCCTCTTTCCTTTCCCCCTTCCCAGATGAGTACGTCGCCAGCTTGCATCTGCCTTCATTCGATGCCCACCTGACAGAACTGACAGATGATCAGGCGAAATACCTGGGACTCAACAAAAATGGGCCTTTCAAGCCCAATTACTACAGGTCAGTGCCAGCTGGGGCAGGGAGCCACCATCTCTCCACCCAGTGGGTGCTGTCGGGGGCATCTCCTTGCACTGGGACAGCATCAGCTCCCAGGAGCTGTGTCCCAAGGCACCCACGGCCTCACAGTCCCCTCTCTTCTCTTCTAGATACTGACGGACCATACCCATGAAGGACCAGACCACACAAGGCAACATTAGAGAGATTATTTTTAAAGATAATTTTTATTTTGGTTTACCTTTTTTTTTTTTTTAAGAAAAAAAAAAAACAACAAAGGAACCTGTTTTTACATTTATCAGTGTGATTTTAAAGTCACTTTTTTTTTTTCAGTTTCACCCTTTTACGTGATCACATCTCTGTCTGATCTTTGCAGACAACCTGGGATTCGCTTCTTGCTTTCATGTGGCTGAAGCCGCTGGTGGTTCCCAGCCCTGGCTCCTGGGGAGGGTTTCCCTTTCCTGATGTGCCAAGGGCAGTTCATTCCTGCAGCGATAATTCTTTTTTTTTTTTTTTTTTAACCTTTCCAGCCTGCATTAGTCTTGGCCGGGATCCCTGCAGATACGGAGATGCTGTTCTACCTTATCTTATGTTTCTTTCTTTGTGTGGATTATCTGCAACTTCTAAATTGCCTTAAAGAGCCCAGTTTTAGCTGCTAGATCAATGCTCCTAGCACTGCTTGGGAGCAGAGTGGCACCTGCTGGCCACCTCACAAATAGGTGACTGTCCCCAAGCCTGGCCAAAGTCCCTGCACCGAGGTGGCCCAGGTTTGGTGGCCGCTGGCACAGGTTTGGTGGCCAGCTGGGTACGGGGGAGTTCACTATTTCAGGGTGCTAATCTGAATTTGGACGGGGGTCGCTTACACAGCATTATCCTCATCTCTCCTAGGTTTTTTTTAGCCAGAACTGCACCTTAATTGAGTTAAAAACATTTTTTTGTTTGTTTGTTTGTTTTTCCTCTTTTCCTTTTTGATCCTTAAAGAGATGTTTTAATGGAGGGGGGAAGCATCGGGGGATGCAGCTACCCGCTGAGTGCGGGTGCTTGCTGCATCCGAGTGGCCCCATCTCCCACGGAGAAGCGTGGGGTGGTTTTAAGGGTGTCTGGGTTTTTTTTGAGGGGTGTTCCACTTTTTGTTTTGAGACGGACGCAGAGATGAGCCTTCCCCGTACCCCAGCCTGGGCCCTCTGCCACAGACCCCTGCACAGAGCCCTCTGCTCCCCATCACTGCCCTGGCCCTCGAGCTGGGCTTTCTCAGCTCTCCCTTGCCCTCTTGCAGTGCGTTTCAGCCGCTCTCATCGCCTCGTCGTTCATCCCCTTCCCCATCCTCACTGGTGACACATTTCTCTTTTCTATCTCTTGCAGCTTGTCCCAGGGTGGGGGAAGCTCCTTGCAACCCAGTGAGGTTTCTCTTAGCTTTATTTTTTTTTTTTTTATCTTCCCCAAATTGCCTCTTTGTTCCCCCCAGCCAAGGTCAGAGCATGAAGGGAAGGACCCTCGCTGCCTGCATCTCCTGGTACACAGATAATGGAGATGCTGTGGTACCTGTGACTGGGGCTGCTCCTTCACCTCTGCCCACCCTGCCGTGCGGACGCCTTTTAGTGCTGCCTGGCTGGGTCCCTCCCTGGGGCTTTGCAGGGTTGGGGGTGCAAACCTCCTTTGTGGGGACGGGAGGAAGATGGGAAGGATGCTTGTGGATTTGATCACCCTCCTCTTACCCCTCTTGTCCTTGGACGACTACTCTTTTTCGCCCTGCCCCGTTTCCTCCTGGACTGTGGCTGGGTCGCTCGCTCTCCCCACGGATTTTGGGGATCACTCGGCTCCCTGGGTCCCCTCCACAATCCCTCAACCTTCCTGGGGGACTCGCGCCTGGCTCAGTGAGCTGGGATGGGTGTCGGTGGGGATGGAGCAAGCGCATCCCCCCCTTCCCTGTGAGGGGACCCACCCTGGGACCCCTGTGCTTTGGGGGTCATGGTCCCCCTCCTTTCCCATCCACGTTGGGGTTGAACCTCGGCCTAAGGGCTCCATCTCTGTATAAGCCATGTCGCGGGGGGGTGGGGGGAGCCCGGGGATGGCGGTGGCAGCATCGGGCCGGGAGGGAGAGGTTTATTTTGTATATGAATGATTTTTAATGAATGCAATATTAATCCTTGCAGATGAGCAATAAATCATTAAAGTCTAATTAAACTATTAGGAAAAACAAAGGGCTTTCGCTTGTGGGCAGTTTATTTGGAAGAGTGAGCAAATGTAGTCGCTGGGGGACCCCGAGCTGATCCCAGCCCAGGGCCTGGGCTGGGCTTTGGGCCCCGCCATGATCCCTTGGGCATCTCCAGGGCCCTGGATTTTGGGGTCTGACCCTCTCTAAACCCCTCTGCGCCTTTTTGTTTGGGTTTTAAACCCCATCAGGTCGCTCTGTTGGGGTCTGGCACGCCTCTGAGCCGTATAGGACCGGCTCTTTTTGGGGGTCCGAGAGCCCCAAAGCCCTTAATGTGAACAGCCAAGTCTTTGGGGGTCTGTCCCATTCCTGCCACTACCAACATGGCGGCCGGGCCCCGCCTCCCCGCGCCACAGGAGGGCGGGGAAGCGCCACTCCCAAGATGGCGGAGGCCAGCGGTGTGCCACACCTAAGATGGCGGCGCGGGGGCGGAGCTCGCCGTCCGGCCGGGTGCCGCACCGGCCGCAGCCGCCGGGGGCGGGGGTGGCGCTGGGCGGTGACGCGGCCGCCGCGGCGGGGACCGGCAGACGGAGGCACCTCGCAGCCGCCCGAACGGCCGGAGTCGTCGTCCCCCCCTACCCGGTGCCACTCCCAACATGGCGGCGGCGCTGCCCCGGCTCTCCCTGCCGCTCCCGCGAGAGGGAGGGGTGAGTCCTCGCGAGAGCTCGGCGCGGCGGAGGGTGGCCGACATGGAGCCGGGCGGCGGCGGCGGCGGCGGCGGGGGCGCGGGGCCGCTCCCGGGCAACAACAAGGCCCGCGGCGGGGCGGGCCCGCCCGGTAAGGCCCGAGACCTGGGCCGCCCGCCGCGCAAGGACTCCGAGGTCAGCGCCGCTGCCGCCGGGCCCGGCTCTGCGGGGTGTGGGGAGGGGATGATGATGGTGGTGGGGCGGGGGTGCGGCCTTCCCGGGCGGGCCGCGCCGCGTCGTTCTCCCCGCCGTGGGGCCCGGGGCCCGCCCGTGAGTTCCGCCGTCTGCTTCCCCCGGGCCAGTCCTGGATCTGCTTCCCTCCCCGGAGCCGGTGCTTTGATACCGCTTCCCCTGGGGCCCCCAGCCTTGGCCGTGCAGACCGGCAGCAGCTCCATGGAGGCAAGAGGCCTCTCTCTGCCAGGCCCCGTTCGGTACCGGGTCTGCCCAGAACCCGCCTGGGTCGGTATCGGCCTCGGGTTGGTGCTGGTTTCCCATTCATCCATCTCTTGCCCAAATCCGGGTCAGTTTGACCTGCCTGGGGCATGAGGGTGGTTCCATCCCTGGCCCTCAAACGGGCCCGACACCAGCCACCCTCCCTCCTTCCAGGGCTGCTCTGGGCACTCACCGCCCTGGCTGGGGGCTTCTCCCCAGCTTTGCCAGTCAGTACCAGCCCAGTACAGCGAGGGCTGGGTTGCCAGGTCCCCGCGGATCGTGTCAGTCCAGGGATGGCTCTGGGAAGAGGTGACTGACCCCTCGAAGGAGACACCGAGGTCGTGGTGGGGACCCCTGAGCTGTGGCATATCAGAAGGGTTTGCGTGGGGCTGTGTGGAGCTGATTTATTCCCTGGCCTTTTCATCGTGTCCCCCAAATCTGGTTTCATTTCTGGGATGGTGCCAGAGCCATCCACTTTCACGGGGGATGCTCCCTGAAGTGACGTTCTCTTCGAGCAGCCAGGGTGTTGGATCTGCCCCTCACTCAGGAGTGGGTGCCCTGAGATTCGGGAGGGTTTTCTGGTGGGTCCACGTTGGTGAGTTACTTAAAGGGAACAGATGTTTTGTGCTCTAAGGCTTCTGGATGTTTTTCCAGCCTCACCAAAGCTGCTTGGAGTTGTTTCATCCTCACTGTTCACGTTTCCTGGCATCCCTCTGATCGGCACTGGGGAGATAGCCCAAATTTTCACACATCTGTGCAAAATGGGTGAGCTCTGAGAGCTCCCTGGTCCCACATAACTCCCCCCTTCCCTGAGATTAAACACACCCTGTCTCTTGCTTTAGTTTTTGGCCTTTTGGGGCTCCCGGAGTGTTTTAGTGGTGGTGCAGTGGCAGGAGCTGCCCACCAGCAAAGCGCAGCGTGGCTCAATGCGGCGGAGCTGGGGAGAGCTGGGATGGAGATGCAGGAGGTGGGTAGGAGTTGCCTTGGTAACGTTTACGCTGCTGCGGGTACATTTTTGCTCTCTTAAACGAAAGATACAATCCTGGATTCGCAGGAGGATGCGGTGAATTGTTAATGTCTTGGGGAATTTAGTTTTCCTGAAAAATGCTGTAATTTAACTGAATTCTTCCTCTGCTTTCAGGGCTATTCGGAGTCCCCAGACCTGGAGTTTGAATATGCAGATACTGACAAATGGGCAGCAGAGCTCTCTGGTAAGGGACTTGTCTTGACGGATCAATTAATCAGCCACGATAGTGATTAAAGGAGCTCTGTCAACTCCAGTATTATTCTGTCACTGTCTTTAAACACCTTATTCATGTTAAAAGGGAAGTGGTACCCTGCAATTAACATTTTTAGCCTTATGCTGAGTGTGTTTTGCATTTCTCTCATCTTGATAAAACTGCAGTTAACATGGCTGAGTTGCAGCTTTCTCCTATGCCTTGGTGCAGGTTGTTGGAGATTTTCCTCTGTGCTCTTTTGGCAGAGCTGTACAGCTACACGGAAGGGCCAGAGTTCCTGCTCAACCGCAAGTGCTTTGAGGAGGACTTCAGGATCCACGGTAAGACCCTTCTCTTGGAGCTCTCCCCTTTCTGGGGAGGGTCAGGGATCTCCCGAAAGAGCCACTGGGATTGATGAGTTAATGCTGTGTCAGAAAGCTCGAGCTGTGCACTGGTAGTCTTCACGTGGTTTGTACTGGAGGCCTCAGTGGTGTGCATGGGCTGGCCCTGGAGCGCAGCTCGCTGCCTCCGCTGCGTTCAGCATTTGCTGATGCTGATCTCTGAGGTGGTTCATCACCACCAGGATGGCTGTGCTGGAACATACTGGCAGCAGCAAGAGCATCCAGCTCATTTCCCATCAGCTGCCAGCGCCGGTTTGGATGGATGTGATTCATCTAGTCGTCTGATGGAAGGCGGGAGAGACAGTCCCTCCGGGCTGATCACACATGCCTGGGTGTTACTCCCAGGAGCGCAGTGTTCCCTGGGGCTTCCATCGTGCCGAATCCTTTTGAGCTTTTCCAGCAGTGTTTGTGTCCAGGGCAGGCAGAGGTGCCCCGTGCCCTCAGCCTGCCTGCTTTGGCTTTTCAGTGCGGGAGAAGAAATGGACCGAGCTGGACAAGAACCAGCACCGCACCCACGCCATGCGGCTTCTCGACGGGCTGGAGGTCACCGCGCGGGAGAAGAGGCTGAGGGTTGCCCGAGCCATCCTTTATGTTGCCCAAGGTGACACCAGGCCCCCATAGTTTCCCCATTGCTAAATCTGGGTAATGGATTAGACGCTATCGATGTAAAATATTTAAAATAATATTCTTCCTTTGCATTTTTGATTTCACCTGGGATGTCTGGAATGAAGCTTATTCTCATGGGAGTCAGACAGTTTCTAGGAGTTTGGTCCAAAATTTGGGCAACTTCCCTGTGCTGTCCCAGCTCTGCCAGACCTGGGCTGCGTTACCCACAGGAGGGCAGTTCTGTCTTCTGCATCTGTCTTTTTGCCTTAAAATTAAGGCTGTGTTTTTCATTCCCCTTGTAAAGTGCTCTGGCAGTGTGGGAGGGCCTCGGGATCCCTGCAGAGATGGGATCCAGTGAGGGTGTTGTTGCAGGCACGTTTGGGGAGTGCGGCTCCGAGGCTGAGGTGCAGGCTTGGATGAGGTATAACATCTTCCTCTTGCTGGAAGTGGGGACGTTCAACGCCTTGGTGGAGCTGCTGAACATGGAGATTGAGTGAGTACTGGAGGAAAGCACTTCAGAAATGGCTCTGGAGCTCCTTGGCAGGAGTTTTTTCCAGTCTGTGGCAGTCCCATTCCTGGTCTGTCTGTCCCTAATCTGATTCCTGCAGCCCCTGGAATGACGCCCATTCTTCTGGGTGGATATGTAATATAGCGTTGTAAGTGATTTATACAGAAATTCACTCTGAGCCTTGCTGCCTGGAAGCAAATAGGGACAGGTCTTCCTCCTCTTTCCGTTGCACTGTGAACAGGGGACTCATTGCAGCAGTATCTATTCCAGGGTTTGGCTTCGGTGTTTGGGTTGGTCGTGGCAGAGTTAAAATGTCTCCAGAGGCCCCGCTGAAGCTGTTTTTCCTCCGCAGTAACAGCGCAGCTTGCAGCAGTGCCGTGAGAAAGCCTGCCATCTCCCTGGCTGACAGCACAGACCTGAGGTACGGAGCAGAGCTTGGCAGGAGGGGGGCGAGGAGGGGGACCCGGTGTTTGCTGGTTTCTCTGGCAAGCTGGGACAGGCCAGCAGGCACCGAGGGTGTCCCAGGGCTGTCCCAACTTCTGCCCTGGCTCTGTGAGCACCGTCAGGTCTGCTTGGTCCACCGATGTCCCTTGTGCTCAGCACAGCATGCATGTGGCTGCTTGGGGACATGAAAGCAGTAAAGTACAGGAAAACAACTTTTTTTCCTGCTTAAATTTGCAGAGACCTTTTTTCTTAGTGCCTGAGCATCAGTCCCCTGGTGTGGAGTGGGTGCATGGAGGCCAGTTGTGGTCTGGGCTGATCCAGCCTCTCCTGAAAGCCCTTGGAGCCGGTGGTGCCTCCATAACTCATCCCAACCTCTGCTGATTCAGCTGACCTCCTGGTTTTTGCAGGGTGCTGCTGAACATCATGTACCTTATTGTGGAGACTGTTCGGCAGGAGGCCGAGGGGGACAAGCCCGAGTGGAAGAGCATGAGACAGACCTTCCGAGCAGAGCTGGGTGAGGGCTGGGTGCTTTTGGGGGTTGATGGGACAGAGGTTTCCAGGGCTGAAGAGCGAGAGTGAGGTGGGGTTTGGCTCTAGGCCTCAGTCGACAGGAACTGGCAGCACTGGGTTGGTTTCTGCTAGGCTGAACGTTGCTGGTGGGGACAAGGGGGATTAGCAGGGGAAGCCAGCCAGTT